AACAAAGACATTAAAGACCCTCTTTTCCAAACTTGGAAAATGTACAAAATAAATTGTAATAATGGGAACATCTCTGACCCTTCCTTGCCATTTGATCAAAATGAGAACTCGGAGGAAAATACCAGCATTCTGTCACTTCCGGATCCCATTTTGAGGGCTTCAAAATCGAGCAAACTCAACAAGCCTGAAACACATTATTTTGTTATTACGGCCGACGAAGCTTACAAACACAAAAAACAAGCACAAGAAATTAAAAAAGAAAAACAGGAAAAGAAGGCATTGAAGAGAGGCAAGATCAAAACTGCAAACAAAGGAAAAGGAAAAAAAGGGAAAATTGACGAAACAGCAATGCCACTGCGTGAACTTGTTGATAATTGAAACTGAAATATTTGTTGTTATCAAATTATTAAGTTTTTATTGACTAATATGCATTTAAGCACTTGGCTTTTTTCATCTTCTACATTTAAAAAACAATAAAACACAATTCAGATATATGTATATATTGTTGCTATTTTTATGTAAATAGGATATGTATGATATACACATAAGAATGGCTAAACAGGTGTGAGAATAACAAAAACATACTGCAACAATTTCTGTAGACTGTTGTCTTTCCTTTTTTTATTTTTTAGTAATGAATTATAAATACCTAGCGGTTCTTCCATTTTCTTCTCCAGGATTTGTAGTCGCTAACTGATTTCTTAAAATCAACGCCTCGCAGCTGCTAGCGTCTCATTTATATATACCTGGCCTATTCAAAATCTTTTAAATTTTTCTTTCAAGAACAGCAAAACTTATTTAATCACATTGATGGATGTATGGAAGTGTCTTGAGGTATTGTAGCTTCAAGTTTGTTTGAATCATGGCCCTAAGGAGTGAACTGGACTACATATATAAAAATCATGACACTTGGGGGTAAGATAAGGTCAACCAGACTTATGATCAAGGGAGAAAAGCTTCAGTTTAAAATTGTATGTTCAAGCTAAATGAAACACATTCCTCATTGACTTTGCTTACAAATATTCCAGATGGAGGAAGAAATATCATTTACAGAACAACTGGAGCTCGAAGAACTGGAAAGGAAAAAGAAAGAGGGTGCATTAACAAAAACAGATGAAGATGGCACTGTTTATGATTGGGATGAAGAGAAGAGAGCATGGTTTCCAAAGGTTAGAAATTTTATAACAAACTGCTAGAATCACCTGCAGTGCTGATTCAAGAAAAGCCAGAGTAGGAGTAGCATTAAGCTTCTTCTTTTTAAATACCACATTTAACAAACAGGGAATGGTACTGGTAACCATGCATTTGGGAAAAATAGCATTGGAATGGAACAATTGAGGCTTTTAAATACTAAGGGATAACAATTTGTAACCAGTTAACCAATAACCCTGTGGAAACGATAGCAATCGATTAGATGTTAGTTGAAGAATATTTTATAATAATTTTTATTTTTAGAAAAACACCACAATGGTAATTTTTTTAATTGAATGATTATAATGCTGTCATAGCAGTTCAGTAACTTAGTGACAAAAAAGGTTCCAAGCTCTGTAATCCAAATAGAAACCCAGCACACATAATGGCAGTTCTTGACTTTTGATTTTAGATTGATGAGGACTTCATAGCTAAGTATCAGATGAATTATGGAGCCAATGAAGAAGAGGGCGATACAAATGATCAGGACAAGTACAGGGAGTACTGGGAAAATTATCACAAACAGCAAAATGAAAGTGAAAGTAATGCTGAAGGAGTTGACATAAATAGTGAAGAATATTACAAACAATATACAGAATATTATAAGAATTATTATGCTCAGTATTATGAGCAGCAACAGCAGGATCAGAAAGAGAGAGGAAGGGGCCAAAAGTGAGGGGGAAAAGAAGGGAAAAGAGAAAGGAAGCAAATTTTTAGCCCAGAAACCCGCAGAAGGTATTGTTAGTCTGTCTAATATAACCTAAACTTATTGTTAACTGAAATTTAGCACTGCTTTCCTTGTTGATGGCTAGGGTAACAGTTGTAATATTGAAGAAAATACACATAATCTGTGGAAGCTTGTTTTGTACAGCTTTAACTGATAATCCCTGTTTTATCAAACAAAGAAATATCTTATTGTTTATATTTATGTCTGATAAAGATTCTTATTTATATCAAGCAATCAGGAGTAATCATCATTTTCTGAATGACAGATTTTAGTCAATCTGACTACAGGTACAGAAATTGTTTTTTGAGTGAAAAATTGTCTTTAGGTCAAAATTCATTTGTATATTTGCATGACATAGAGCAATTTCTATGATTTGTCTTTATATTGACACATATATCCTGATTCAACAAGAACAAAAAACTCAAAGAAATACCTTATAACAATGAATTCCTAAAACATACCAATATATTATTATATATGATTATGTATAAATATTTCAGAACCACAGTGGTTTGATGTGCAAGATGAGAAAAACACAAATGTGTATGTGAGTGGTCTCCCTGTGGATATAACAGAGGAGGAGTTCAAGGAACTGATGAACAAGTGTGGAATGATCATGTTTGACCCTCAGAAGAAGGCTCTCAAACTGAAGCTTTACAGAGACCAGAATGGGGAACCTAAAGGGGATGGCAGGTGCTGTTATATCAAGGTAAGAGACAGGTGCTGTTATATCAGGGTAAGAGACAGGTGCTGTTATATCAAGGTAAGAGACAGGTACAGTTATATAAGGTAAGAGACAGGTGCAGTTATATCAGTGTAAGAGACAGGTGCAGTTATATCAAGGTAAGAGACAGGTGTAGTTATATCAGGGTAAGAGACAGGTGCAGTTATATCAAGGTAAGAGACAGGTGCAGTTATATCAAGGTAACAGACAGCTGCTGTTATATCAAGGTAAAAGACAGCTGCTGTTATATCAAGGTAAGAAAAACGTGCTGTTTTATCAAGATCAGAGACAGGTGCTGTTATATCAAGGTAAGAGACAGGTGAAGTTATATCAGTGTAAGAGACAGGTGCAGTTATATCAAGGTAAGAGACAGGTGCTGTTATAGCAAGGTAAGAGACAGATGCTGTTATATCAAGGTAAGAGACGGGTGCTGTTATATCAAGGTAAGAGACGGGTGCAGTTATATCAAGGTAAGAGGCAGGTGCAGTTATATCAAGGTAAGAGACAGGTGCTGTTATATCAAGGTAAGAGACAGGTGCTATTATATCAAGGTAAGAGACAGCTGCAGTTATATCAAGTTAAGAGACAGGTGCTGATAGATCAAGGTAAGAGACAGGTGCAGTTATATCAAGGTAAGAGGCAGGTGCAGTTATATCAAGGTAAGAGACAGGTGCTGTTATATCAGGGTAAGAGACAGGTGCTGTTATGTCAAGGTAAGAGACAGGTGCTGTTATATCAAGGTAAGAGACAGGTGCAGTTACATCAGTGTAAGAGACAGGTGCAGTTATATCAAGGTAAGAGACAGGTGCTGTTATATCAAGGTAAGAGACAGGTGCTGTTATATCAAGGTAAGAGACAGGTGCTGTTATATCAAGGTAAGAGACAGGTGAAGTTATATCAGTGTAAGAGACAGGTGCAGTTATATCAAGGTAAGAGACAGGTGCTAATAAATCATGGTAAGAGACAGGTGCTGTTATATCAAGATCAGAGACAGGTGCTGTTATATCAAGGTAAGAGACAGGTGCTGTTATATCAAGGTAAGAGATGGATGCAGTTACTTTTTTTTTTATATCAAGATAAGACACATTCCATGTATTTGTATATTTATATAACTTCAGGCTTTAAAGTCATTAATAAATTAATAAACAGATATTTTGTAATTTATTCTTTTATTAATATAAGTGATATTTTTGTAGCAGTGTTAAAGAAAATCAAAAGTTTGGTAAAATTCACAATTTTCCTTTTTATTCACAAAGGACACACTGTTTTGTAATTAGATTGAGAGTGAATAATCCATCATTACAGAGACTCAGATTTCAAAGTATCTCCAAATATGTTGTTGTATGTTACCAATATTTGCAATCTTATAATAATCACCACTAAGCTCTGACATGACAGTCTATGACACTATGTTATGAGAAGACAGAGGCAAAGGTTAAATCAGGGAAAATGTAATAAGCCAAAATTTCAATATTTTGATCAATATTATTAAATTTATTTCACTTGTGAGATGGGATTTTAGTATATCTTAACACATGCTTTGCTTTCATTAAAATGTAATGTACATTTACAACATCTGCTTTGCTCTCATGAAAGTATGGGAATAAAATTAAAATCCTCTCACACAAATTCAACTTTAGGTACAAAACATTGAATGTTCTCCATCTTTTATTTTGTAAATAAAACTTTGGGTAAATCTTTTGTTTTTGAAGAGCAATTGTCTCTCATCAAGTGAGATCTTAATGAAGTAAACTTTTTATAATCTTTCATAGCACATGTATAAACATTTAAAAAATTGAAATAATCTATAACTAGAAGTTAGTACAACATTTTGGAAAAACATTAAATTTGGATCAATTCTAAATGTATAAAGCTTATTAATTTTATCAACATCATTTTTAGCACTTAAATTTAGATTTTGAAAAACTGAAAGATTTAGGAAGTTTTTAATGATTAAAAACTGAAAGGCCAAAGTAAGTGACTCAAGTGAGCATTTTGGCCTATGGGCCTCTTGTTAAATTTTAGTACAATATATAAACATGAACAGATCATGCCTATTTCTTGATTGTATGTCTGTTTTGTATCTGAAGGTTGAGTCTGTGGAGCTAGCACTAAAGATTTTAGATGGATATGATGTACGCGGACACAAAATTCATGTAGAAAGAGCCAAGTTTACAATGAAGGGAGATTTTGATCCAAGCAAAAAACGAAAGAAACTCACCAACAAAGAGAAAAAAAGGCTGAAAGAGAAACAGCAAAAGTGAGAACATGTTCAATACACATGAAATACAGCATAGAACTGATAATTAAAAAATTTTGAATCATGAATTTATGAAGAAAAGTGAAAGTTATAATAAGTGTTATTGGCCCATATAACAGGTAGAGCTGGGTATCGCGACTGAAAAATCGTATCGCGATATATTGCAATATTATATTTTGTATTGCAATATATCACAATATAAAGTTTTTAATAAATTTTGCTTTTCGTCAATGTCAAATGAAAACACAAACTCAAATTACATGTATTCTCGAGTTGATATTGCAACTGCATGGTCGCGTTGTGTCGGCGCAAGTGGCAAGCTAAGATTTTTGTGGCACAACTTGACGAATCAAGTTGTGATATTCAGAATCGGCTTTAACATGTAGGGGTTTCATGTAACAGTTGTCGTCTTTTCGTTTCTGACAGAGATATGTCTCTCATTTCTGATCACACTTCACGTCGCTTGCCGCCATATCTTACCTTGAAAAGGGCAAATAACTCTTTTTATAACAATTTATAGCATATCGAACCCGAACCGGTATTCACAAAAAATACCGCGATACGTATTGTGAAGAAAAAATCGGGATACACCGGTTAACTGGTAATATCGCACAGCACTAATAACAGGGTTGTCCCAAAAAGTTGTGTAGACAGGGAAAACAGGTCAGTTTCTCTTTGCTAAATTAAATTTTTTTTTTCTTGTCATAGCAAAAAGTAACATTTTATGATCACACATTTCAAGTTTCGTGATAATATCACATTTGATAAGAAAATTATGAAAAAGTAAAGAAAGCATGTAAGTGTAAATCGGTGCACGAAAGCAAGCTTAATTTACATCCCTTAAAACATCATGATCTCTTTTTCTGCTTCACATGCATCTATTAACACCCAATAATCATTTCTAAGTGAAAAACTGCTCTTGACTAAGGGTCTTCTTTAGATTAACAACTGTCCATTTTTTTGTTTGTTTTTTGTAGCAGATTCTAATTTCAGTCAAAAGAATGACTGCACTTAAGCTATGAGAGTTGGATCCCGATGTTTTGCGCAAAATAAAATTCCAAAATTCATTAAATTTATGTTTTATAGGTATTAAACAATATCATAAGAGCAGGTTTTGGTATATTATATTACATGAAAGTATTAAATAATGCCGAGCGACACTAGCTTTTGAAACGAGAGTCTAACAGTTTTGTCTCATTTCTATTGTTATTCATATGCATACCAGTTTTCAACAACATTGTTTACATCGAGCCGCAACTTGGCCATTTTTCTCATTTGCACAGAATGTGTATTTTAACTAAAACTTATACATATCCAAAGGACAATGTTGGCCAAGTTGCGGCTCATATCTAATTTTTAAAAAAATGTACTCAAACTTCGTTCGAGTTAGCTACTAAATTAGCAGGTTACGAGTGTCAGCCCATGTGAACCCTTTGATATTATAATTACTTTTCTCACGTGACATTCAAGTGTTCGATACGCTTTCATTGTGTCAGTCGTTGGAAAATTCTTTTTATATCTACATGTACTTCCATCTTCAAAATATTTCAAAGATTCTATTGGCGTTTTAAAGATTACGTTGACGTCTTTCACTATAGTGTTTTTGTTCGGGGTATTTTAAAGGAAAGAGGTATTATTTTGCTGATTACATGCTGTACATATAGCAGTGGCGGATCCAGAAATTTTGAAAACGGGAACCAGTTTTAGGTCAGGGTAGGAGCCCACAGTCACACCGGACCAAAAACTAAACTTTTTATTTTATTTTTAGGTTACTAATAGGCCCACAATTATTATTCAAGATGGTTAAGATAAAGTGAAAATGTCATATATTTTTTAAAAACACTGTAGGTACGAACACATAATTATTTTAAGATTTAGTTGATTCGCTGCTTGACAGCAAATAATACATGAGCACTGAGAGTTTAAGCATTCATATTTTAGAAGAACGTTAGATAGAGAAAATTATGCATGCAGTGCTTGATAATGTAGAAGCCGAAATTCATTTTTTTAATGCATTGTCCTTTGTACCCTGAATACCGATCAAATTTTTTGAAAATTAACCCTGCCAATAATCAAATGGCATTCAAATGGCATGGTCATATATGGATTTACTATGTGTACTTATTTCAGATTATCCTATAGACAGGTTGCAAATTATTTTTTTTTTATGCTAAGACAGTCCATTATGTTCAGAAAATAAAAATGTATTTCAGTGTCATTTTCACTACCAACCTAAGCGTACAAAATGCATACATATATTTATCACAATTGTGTTTATTTTTATGAACTTTTTGTTTTTCTCTTAATGTTCTGCTCTTTCCTTGCTTAATTTACTTAACGTGGATACAATGAAATTATATGCATGGTTATAAATCATTTATTTTTTTACACAAGGAACACAAAACCCTCATCTCCGACTTTTTCATATATAATGTAAATCAGATACGGAAAACCATGTGCTTATGATCCATTTCCATGCGATTTAAATGTCTCCGCCCCTTTGCTGCGACCTTAAAATCGAAAGCGGTCCAGTTCAATTTTCCGGAATTTATGGCTTAAACATGTTCTTTTCAATAGCGTTGAATGTAATTATAGAAATATGTATGACGAAAAATTCTAGAAATAAATATCAAAAGCATATGCTTGCACATTAAGCTTAGATTAATTTAGCGATATATTGTAATGTTAAGCTTAAAATGGGTAGCGAAAAGGTTCCAAATAACGTCCTTAAGTGCAGTCATTCTTTTGTCACTTCTGTACTCTTTTCCCTGTCAGGTCATTCCAAGTTTTTTCTATGTTTAGCGTCCGCGTGCGCCTTGGTTTTTGACACCCCATGTCACAAAAAAACAAACAGAATCAGGAGTCCAAAAATTAATTATTCATGACAAAATTTGTGATTTCTGGCAATATCTTTAAATGTTTGTATAATATTTCATTATTGCAATAGTTTCAGTATTTTAAAATTCCTGGATTTTGCTGAAGAAAATAACTTTCTTTATGAAAAATAGATAAATGAAATCATATCTTTCTAATTACGTCATTCTTATTACTATAAAATATGAGTTGTTATTTTTTTGACTTGTGTGTTTTTTGCGAATAGGTAGCTAGGTTTTTAGCTCACCTGAGCCGAAGGCTCAAGTGAGCTTTTCTGATCACATTTTGTCCGGCGTCCGTCTGTCCGTCTAGCTGTCCGTCTGTCTGTCCGTCTCTCTGTAAACTTTTCACATTTTCGACTTCTTCTCAGGAACCGCTGGGCCAATTTCAACCAAACTTGCCACAAAGCATCCTTGGGTGAAGGGGATTCAAGTTTGTTCAAATGAAGGGCCACGCCCTCATTCAAGGGGAGATAATTGGCAATTAATGAAAATTTGGTGGCATGTTTTAAAAATCTTCTTCTCAAGAACCACTGTGCCAGGAAAGATGAAACTTATGGGGAATCATCCTCAGGTAGTGTAGATTCAAATTTGTTCAATTCATGACCCCTGGGGGTAGGGCGGGGCCAAAATGGCCGACCAAAGTTTTACATAGAAATATATAGGAAAATTCTTTAAAAATCTTCTTCTCAAGAATGACCAAGCCATAATTCATCATATTTATATGGAAGCATCCTCAGGTAGTGTAGATTCAAGTTTGTTCAAATCATGACCCCCGGGGGTAGGGCGGGGCCAAAATGGCCGACCCAAGTTTTACATAGAAATATATAGGAAAATTCTTTAAAAATCTTCTTCTTAAGAATGACCAAGCCATAATTCGTCATATTTATATGGAAGCATCCTCGGGTAGTGTAGATTCAAATTTGTTCAAATCACGACCCCCACGGGTAGGGCGGGGCCAAGATGGCCGACCAAAGTTTTACATAGAAATATGTAGGAAAATTCTTTAAAAATCTTCTTCTCAAGAATGACCAAGCCATAATTCATCATATTTAAATGGAAGCATCCTCAGGTAGTGTAGATTCAAGTTTGTTCAAATTATGACCCCCGGGGGTAGGGCGGGGCCAAAATGGCTGACCTAAGTTTTACATAGAAATATATTGGAAAATTCTTTAAAAATCTTCTTCTTAAGAATGACCAAGCCATAATTCATCATATTTATATGGAAGCATCCTCAGGTAGTGTAGATTCAAGTTTGTTCAAATCACTACCCCCGGGGGTAGGGCGGGGCCAAAATGGCTGACCTAAGTTTTACATAGAAATATATTGGAAAATTCTTTAAAAATCTTCTTCTTAAGAATGACCAAGCCATAATTCATCATATTTATATGGAAGCATCCTCAGGTAGTGTAGATTCAAATTTGTTCAAATCACAACCCCGGGGGTAGGGCGGGACCAAAATGGCCGACCAAAGTTTTACATAGAAATATATAGGAAAATTCTTTAAAAATCTTCTTCTCAAGAATGACCAAGCCATAATTCATCATATTTATATGGAAGCATCCTCAGGTAGTGTAGATTCAAGTTTGTTCAAATCATGACCCCCGGGGGTAGGGCGGGGCCAACATGGCCGACCAAAGTTTTACATAGAAATATATAGGAAAATTCTTTAAAAATCTTCTTCTTTAAGATAGAAAATCCATGATTGTTCATGGGACTACTTTTGGATTTTACCTTTTCAATAATAAACCAATTTATACTTTGCCTAGCCACAGTGCTCAGGTGAGCGATGTGGCCCATGGGCCTCTTGTTGAAAGATGGGTGGACGCTAAACAGAGAAAAAACTTGGAATGGCCTCATGTATATAAACCATACCCAAAACAATTTATTACATCTCCGTGCGCCGGTTACACGTTTGACGACATTATTTTCATGAAACTCAATTCCAACTACACTTTGAAAAACAGGACACCAATCATCTGTTTCTAATGCTATTCATATAATAATCTGACATGTTATTAAAATTTTGATTCGGGTTTCACTGATTTAAATATGAGTTCAACGTATTACAAAGTACCAAAGAAATAAAAGCAAATGTAATAGTGATATGCGTAAATTATTCCAAATTTTGTTCATGCGCCGACAGGCCATATCGGCCTTCATATAAATTGACTCAATATTTTTAATATGAAAGATATACATTTAAGAATTCACAATTTAAAAGAACATTGTATATGTCTATGCAAAATTTGGTTAGTATTGGTAGCATGTTAAATAAGTTGTAAACATGGTCTACGACTTTATGGACAACCCTCATACATGTAGTTTTTATGCCCTGACATGAATATGACCTGGGCATATAGTATTTGTCATGTCCATCTTCCTTACTTCTGTCCTTCCCTCCTTCCATCACACTTTGCGTTTAACTCAGTTCAAATCTCAGTTTCAAAAGAAACTATTCAAGATATTTTTATCAAGCTTCATATACTGATAGATATTGATGAGAGTTTTTATCTCAGTTTTAAAGATACCATTCAAGATAGTGTAATCAAACTTCATATGTTAATGTAAGCTATTCAACTGCACCAACATTTTTAGCTCACCTGAGCGGAATGCTCAAGTGAGCTTTTCTGATCAAAGTTTGTCCGTTGTCTGTCGTTGTGGTTGTCGTTGTCGTCGTCATTGTCGTTGTCATAAACTTTTCACATTTTCATCTTCTTCTCAAAAACCACTGGACCAATTTCAACCAAACTTGCTACAAAGTATCCTTGGGTAAAGGGGATTCAAGTTTGTTCAAATAAAGGGCCACGCCTTCTGCCAAGGGGAGATAATTATGAATTAGTGAAAAATTAATGGCATTCTTAAAAAATCTTCTTTTCAAGAACCATTGGGCCAGGAAAGATGAAACTCATGTGGAAGCATCTTCAGGTAGTGTACATTCAACTTTCTTCAAATCATGACCCCTGGGGGTAGGGTGGGGTCAAAATGGCCGATCAAAGTTTTACATAAGAATATATAGGAAAAATGTTTAAAAATCTTCTTCTCAAGATCCATAGGGATAGGAAAGGTGATACTTATGTTAAATCATCCTCAGGTAGTGTACATTCAAGTTTGTTCAAATCGTGACCCCGGGGGTAGGGTGGGGCCACAATGGCCGATCAAAGTTTAACATAGGAATATATAGGAAAAATGTTTAAAAATCTTCTTCTCAAGAACCATCGTGACAGGAAAGATGAAACTCATGTCGAATCATCCTCAGGTAGTGTAGATTCAAGTTTGTACAAATCATGATCCCTGGGGGTAGGATGGGGCCAAAATGGCTGATCAAAGTTTTACATTAGGAATCTATAGGGAAATCTTTTAAAATCTTCTTCTCAAGTACTTCAAAGCCATGATAGATGATATTTATATGGAAGCAACCTCAGGTAGTGTTCTAGTTTGTTAAAAATCATGACCCCTGGGGTAGGGTAGGCCACAATGGCCGACCAAAGTTTTACATAGGATATATAGGAAAAATCTTTAAAAATCTTCTTCTCAAGAACTATTGAGACAGGAAAGATGAAACTCATGTGAAATCATCCTCAGGTAGTGTAGATTTAAGTTTGTTCAAATTGACCCCACGGGGTAGGATCATTGACCATAGGAATATTTATCAAGTACTTCAAAGCCATGATTAGGATATTTATATGGAATCATTCTCAGGATGTGACCCTGGGGGATAGGGTTGGGCCACAAATTGTTTTACCTTGAAATATATTTTAAAAAATGTTCTCAAGAAGTTTTACATAGGAATATTTATCAAGTACTTCAAACCCATGATTAGTGATATTTATATAAATGGAATCATCCTCAGGTAGTGTAGATTCTAGTTTGTTCAAATCATGACCCTGGGGGATAGGGTTGGGCCACAAATTATAATAATAAGTAATGTATAGGAAGAAAGTGTTAAAAAAATCTTTTCACCTTAAAATATATTTGGAGGGTAAAAAATGTTCTCTTGAGAATAGCAAATTTTTGCCCACAATTGTCATATCCTGAGATGTCCTGATATAGTTCAGGATTTATATGGAAGCATTCGCTTCAAGTAGTGTTTTAGAATTAATTATTTTAAATTTGTTGAATCAAATCATAACCCCAAGGGTAGGGTGGTGGCCACAATTGCGTGTGGATCAAACTTTTACTTTAAAAAATATCCCATCAATTTGCAAAAGCTTTCCTTGAAAAATCCCAAGAACAGAAAAGCTATGTTTAGTCCATACATGTATTGACCAAAATGTAAGATTCCTCAAAAGTGTATTGAAGATTTAAATTTGTTCAAATTTATGGTGTCCCTTGGGGGTAGGGGATGGGAAACAAAGATTTGGGGAATCAAATTCAAATTATAATAATAAATTATAAATTAGTAATGTATAGGAAGTGTAAAATATATGTACATGAATTACATCATGATATCATGTAATATTGTTTTACATGTGTATATATAAATATATTTTTTCCTAAACAATTAACAGCAAAGTCATATGCTGTATTGATATGAAGGCATTCTCAAGTAGTATTTTTAAAAATTTTGCAATTACCACCCCCCCCCCCCAAAAATTTCCAGATTTACCACCTCACTAAACTTTTCAGCTCTGATCTTATTTGTGCTTTTTCCTAGCTATTGTGCTCGGGTTTTAGAATAATAAAGCGAATTTAATTCTTTACAGTGGCCCCTGGGCCTTTGGTTTGACATTGATCTTTCCTTTGACTTTAATTTTTATGCCCCCTTTGAAGAAGGGAGGGCATATTGCTTTGCTGCTGTCTGTCTTTCTGTCTGTCTGTCTGTAGGTGGGTCGGTCTGTTGGTCCACCATCCATTTTTGTTCATTTTCTTTGCAGAGATAAAACATACTGTAGAAGTACTTTTTTTCCGTGTGGTATTAATTTACGCTATGTATTTCCGCGGAAATTTGTCCCATCGAACTTAATGCAAATACAAGGCATATAAGGAGAATCTTGTATTTCCGCGGAGATATTAATGCAAATACAAGGCATATAAGGAGAATAATTTTCTACCAGCGGATTGAACACGAATAGAGATTCTGCTGAATTATGACCTCGTGGAAAAAAAGTACGTCACTCTACAGTATTCAAATGAAATTGGTATAGAATTTTATTAAAAGTCAAGTTCTGTTTTGGGTATGATCGAGCCATTGGGGGCATAAGTACAGGTATTCTTTTGTCTTTAAATAAGTGTTTAGCTTAGTTTTTAAGAAACCATTCAAGTAACTGTAATCAAACTTCGAATGCTGATACATACTGATATAAGCTTTTCAACAGCTTCAGCATTTTTTACCTTTACTTTGACCTTGATCTCACTTTTCTTACATTATTGTCTACATTAGTTTTAAAGTAAACAAGATATTTTTATCAAATTTCTTATGCTGATACAAACTGCTAAAAGCTATCAATTGCAATTGAATAGTGTTGTCGTGGTTACTAAAAATAGAAATTTCTATGAAATATTTTCAAAATTGCAACTCCTCCTACAGTTTTAGTCTGATTTCAATATAACTTGGCATACAAGTACACTACACTGAGATACATAATTCTTTTTATTGGTTTTTGATTTTAACAACTGATGTTGCAGTTGTTACTAAAAATAGAAATTTCTGTGAAATACTTTTAAAGTACTACTCCTAAATCCTAATACAGTTTTAGTCTGATTATAATATAATGTGGCATGTTAGACCACACTGAGATACATAATTGTCTTTATTGTTTTAAAATTAAAATTTTATTGAAATCTACTCCTACAGTTATAGTCTTATTGCAATCTTACCACAAAAAGAGACTAAATCAAGGATCATTCTATTTATTGCTGTTTTAAAGTTTCAAGTCCCAACTGCTACTTTTCTCTATCTTTGCTATAAGTGCAAAGCAGTAGAGCTACAGTCTCAACAGAGACTTTTGGTTACTGATTAAATGTTACATGTATTCTCTTGCTGAAGCATTATCATGACTTCCAGTCCCTATACATTCGTAAAATTTGATGTTTATCCATTTAAGCAGGTAGGTGTAAATTTTATGGGCAATTAATGGGGGGTGGGGATCTATTTTTTTATAGCTGGTGTATGTAGTACCGGTAGTTTAAATGATAGATTTTAGGATTGAATTGTTGTGTATTTCAGATTGTTTGACTGGCGACCAGAGCGACCAATTGATGCCAGACAAAAATGTGAAAAAGTTGTCATCTTGAAAAACATGTTTTCTCCAAAAGAGTTTGATGTAAGTAAGAAATTAAAAGAATCTCAACAATCACTTCTTGATGCTTATTGAGCTATGTGATCCCCTTCATTACATCAATTATTCTGAGAGTTTAACTAAACTGAGACTTTAATCAAGGTTATTGGAAAATAAGAACATGAAAATTGAATTTTTGTGTCACAGGAGTTTTATATTTTAGAACTCTTTAATTAGAAACAATAAGGTCATCATTGTGAATTCTCCCTAGAAATGGTCTGTCTTAGGCCAGATAAAATTCATCTTTAGATTCTCATCCCCGCCCGCCCCTCTCAAAGTGTCCCGCCTCGGGGTTTTTTATTTGATTTTTGGGTGTTAATAAAAGTATTTTCATGTATTTTTACTCAGCTAGAATTTGGGTCAAAAAGTTCTCTCCCGTCTGTATTAAAAGTCGTGTGCCGCTATTTATAGCAAAAGAGCCATATGAAGAATGGAGAAAAATCGGCAATAAAAGTAGTTGAAATATGAAAGGAAAAGATAATTTGTCAGTGTAGAGAAGGCAGAGAAGAAAAATTAGCATAAACACATCTAGATACCATCATTGACATGAGCAAGTTTTAGAGAGATTTTCACTACGTAAAAATAGACGAGGAAAATGACACCTGGGGCCCGTTTCATCAAAGGCAGTACGCCCGGTCGTAGCGCTACGCCGGTGTAAAGTCGGGACTAGCACGAAGATTTCCGTTTCATTAAAGAGCGTATTGTTACGCCTGACTAAATTTAGGTCAAAATTTTACGTCTACTCATGGGTAGGCATAAGTTTGGGCTTAAACTTAAAATTAAGCTATTTGACTGATTTTGAAACAATTTAGCGAGTTCTCCAGAAAATATACTATTCTAAGAAGTATGTTCAATACAAACAATGCATTATTAAATTATAAATACAGTTCAATACAAACAATGCATTATTAAACCAGTTAAACAAGACAGAATAACATTTTCAAATTTCGTTCCGATGAAAAATCGTCCGGATACTGGCATCCGGATATCTGGCGTCCGGATATCAAGGTCCACTGTACTATGGGGGGGGGCTGTTACAACCACTTGGGGACATAGTTGATTGGAGTAATAACGTACTATTTAAATATTTTAATAAATTTCTACTGAGAACTAAACATGATTGTCTTAGAGATTTCTTCGACCACCATTTCTTACGTTTTGACAATCCTGCATTTGTACACTTTTGATTTTATATTGTATATAAAAGGTATTGTAGATATACACTAAGACTATATATACATGTACTATATTCATATATTTTGTTTCATTCACTAAACAGAGACCTATTAAAATTGTCGATTAAAAAAATATATTTCCCAAATATATATTTTTTGAGGAAAAAAATCAATTTCAAAAGAACAATAATTCTCATTAGCTCTGGTAATTTTCTATATCTAAGAAAAAATGAATTCATCTTGAAACCAATTAGGTTTTTTGTCATGTTCAAAGAGTCTATTTCTTATTCTCTCCTCATCCACATGCGTAGATATTGAGGGGATCAGAGAGAGGGTCCAGAATCTCCCGACTTTGCAGATGAATAAATATTTCATGTACAGAGTTAGGGGGCGAAGGTAATTCCTAAAAACATTTTATTCCTCAGACATATCTTGATGCAGAAGACTGTTTATTTTTTCATGAAATTCGTCGAAAAGAGTAAATCTTACATAGTATAAGATAATCTGAGTGCATATGAAGCAAATAAACATGTAAGATGAAAATATACATGTTGATGCTCCGCATAACTTACATTTTCAAAAACAATATTTAAAGATAACTGTAACTTAAGTTAAGGTCAGACGAGACGTTCCTCAAAATCTGTTTTGTATATCTTATATATATATAATGTATGAAAAATATTCAAAATTTTCATAAAATTCTGATTTCTAAACCAGTTTCTAGACGTTTTTAAAAAATCCAAACACTTAAACATTTGAAATTGGAAAATTATTTTTCTTCCCCAAAGGATAATATAAGAAAAACTACCCCTGGTATCTTGCAGAAATGCCTGGTAAGGTACCTCAATTTTTTGTGAGTAAACATGTTTCAGTAGCAACACTTCAATGACAAACTCTTAGAAAAATTTATCTATTATTAAGGAAAGTCTCGTCTGTCCTTAAAGACGGAGCCTACACAAGCAGAGAATTCCTGTAAGAATATCTTTGTAGTCATTCTTCCGGATCTCTCTCTCTCTCTCTGTATGTGTGTTTGTGTCCAATTAAAACGGTACATTAAATTTAAGCTGCAGACAGTAAAGATTTTTTTCTATAACTACATGTACCTAGAGTCTAGTATTTTGTAATTGTTTTATGAACCTTTGTGTCATTTTAATAAAAATAACGAAGTTATGATATAATGAATCATTTGAATTGACAAAAGTTTTTTTTTTAAATAGACTTGGAGAGGATTGTCTTACATATACTCATGCGCAGATCTTGAGGGGGGTCGGGGGGGGTTCAGGACACACACACACACCCCCCCCCCGGAATTTACACGATTAAAAATGTATATACTAAAGCAAGAAAAAAGTCACCTTAAACCCCCCCCCCCTGGAAAACGCTGACCCCCCTGGTGAACATGAATATGTGTAAAATGGGTATGAAAAGTGAAATAGGTTTTTCACGTTTGGACGAGAGGTTTTTTTTTCTTTTTTTTGCTTGTCAAGAAATTTCTGGGATTGGAATTTTTTTTGACTGGGTGGACCCCCCCCCCCCCCCCCCCTGGAAAAAATTTCTGGATCCGCACCTGTATACTAGTATGTACCATGTACCTTTAAAAGTAAACGTGTAAAATTTATTTCTTGACTCAAAATGTGTACTTATGTAAATCATTTGCATTTTTTATACATTAATTTTGCTTGCAAGTATACATTTATTTTAAAATAAAGTTTTAAAATCTCATTCTGTCTCAAACTTAATTTTTAATATTTTATCAGTAGAGTCAGTATTTATCGAATCATGAAATTAATTATCAAAGGCGAAGTCATTAAACTGTATCAATTTCGGGAAGAGGGGAGAGGAGGTGAAGGCTGTAATCAAAATCCCAAAATAGATAGCTTTAACATACTTATGATTTATATATGTACGGTCCTTTTCTTTCTTTCAATTGATAAAACGTTCTATTATTGAAATGTTGTAAAAAATAATAATTGCAATTAGTGCAATTATTCATTTATCTATAATTTGTTTTATTCAACCTAGTTTGACGTACTACAAATACATGTACTTGTGTGTATTCATTGGACAATGTTTATGTTTTTGTGCATGCGCAATGCTACGTTGTCAAGGACTTAGTCCTGCGACTAAGATTATCGTTTACGACTAGACTTAGGGCACTTGGTGAAACGCAAATTACGCCCAGCTAAATTTTGTCGTAAGCCTTGGAAGTACACCTAAGTTAAGGCTTAACTTTACGACTTTTGATGAAACGGGCCCCAGGTCAAGTTTGAACAATCTCCAACTGTGTGTGATTTTGCTTTGAAAAAAAAATAAAACATCAATGGGAGACTTAAGAGAATGTTAAGTGCTAAGGAAATGTTAAATCTTAAAACTATTCAGGCCTAGGTTTTTCGGTAGAATATTTTATTAGAATATTTTATAGATTTTGCGAATATAACCTATTCCAATGTCGAACATGTCAATTCTCAAGAACGACCAAATTTTTTAGGAAGGTGGAAATCTATGATATTTTACAGAAAACAGAGGGGTTTGATGGTAAAACTAAAAGGTATTTCGGAAAAGGCCAATGAGAAGTCTTGCATTCACAATTAATTGGTATCCCCACCTCATTTTGTTTGGCGTGTGCTCGATAATTTTTTAATTTACAATAAATGTTTAATTTTTTAAAGCAACAATCTTCTTTAGATACTAAAAAAATATGAAAAGAATAAAATCTATTCATATTGGCATTAACATAATGAAAAAAATGTTTACGAGAGTCCATGTTTTGTTGATACTTACAATTTATCAATTATAAAAAATAAAAAATAAAATCCGCCCACCCGCCCCAATTTTTTAGCAAATTAGGATGAGAATCTAAAGATTAATTTTATCTGGCCTAATGTGTTTCATTGTACCAGTCAAAGTTTCAGATGCTGCAATTTCAGCAAAGGAATGACCAGGTTAATGTTTTTGGTGCAGGTTAACATTTTTGGTGCAGTTTTTGGCGTAGGTCTCATTTCCAAGTAACTATAAGCCCTATGTTGACCAAACTTGCATGGATGTCACATCTTAGGATGCATATTACAAGACTTGCTTCGGATGCTGAATCTGACCTACATTTTCCGGTTGAGTGAACAGGTTAAAATTTTTGGTGCAGGTTTCATTTCCAAGGTACTATGAACCCTATAATGACTAAACTTGCCTGGATGGTACATCTTAGGATACATACTACCAGACTTGCTTCGGATGCTGAATCTGACCTACATTTTCTGGATGAGTAAACAGGTTAAAGTTTATGGTGCAGGATTCATTTCCAAGTAACTTTGAGCCCTATAATGACCAAACTTGCATGGATGGTACATCTAAGGGTGCATTCTACTAGGCTGGCTTCAGAAGCTGAATCTGACCTACATTTTCCGGATTAGTGAAAATGTTAGTTTTTTATACAGGTTTCATTTCCAAGTAACTTTGAGCTCTATGTTGAACAAACTTGCATGGATGATACATCTAAACTTGCCTGGATGGTTTCTGGATGAGTAAACAGGTTAAAGTTTATGGTGCAGGATTCATTTCCAAGTAACTTTGAGCCCTATAATGACCAAACTTGCATGGATGGTACATCTAAGGGTGCATTCTACTAGGCTGGCTTCAGAAGCTGAATCTGACCTACATTTTCCGGATTAGTGAAAATGTTAGTTTTTTATACAGGTTTCATTTCCAAGTAACTTTGAGCTCTATGTTGAACAAACTTGCATGGATGATACATCTTAGGATGCACACTAATGGACTTGCTTCAGATGCTGAATTCGACATACATTTTCCAGATAA